AGCAGGAACAGCAGATGTGCTAGCTTGGTTCTGCTGATTGCTGGTGGTCATAGTGTCTGTATACTGTCATCTTTTCTACCACCCCCCTTCTTCTGTATCCAGGACAAGTGGAAATGCTTTTGTGTGTTCTGGGACAAGTTAACTTGTTCTGTTTTTTCCTTTAAGATACGGCGAGAAGGCGTGCGTCTCTTTCTTTTGTGGCTGCAAGCACTTCAGAATAACTGTAGTAAAGAACAATTATGGATGTTTTCTTGCTTGATTCCTGGATTTTCATCACCACAGTCTGAATATGGCCCACGAACACTAGATAATCTCATTAACCCTCCACTTAATGTTCAAGAAAGTAAGTCATTTGTTAATATTACTCCATTCTTCACAGAAATCAATTGTCAGCACATAATAGGCAAGTTGAAGTAATGAAGAACTAACATACTTATTTACCCAGGGAGATCATGGAGCTGTGAATGAGTGTTTTGGCAGTTTTTCAGGTGTTGTTCCAATAGTAACTTTGTCTTTTGTTGCTGTTGTTTTTCAGGAGTGATCTGTTTTTTGTTTTGTTTAAAGTATGGGTATAGTAGCTTAGCATGTAGCGGTAAAAATAAGCTGACCCATTTAATGTAATTTTTCTTGAGAATTACAAGCAGATAGTGCATCTGCTAGAAACTTGCACAGGTGGATTCTGCTTGTGTTGAACATTGGCACTGGCTTTGGCCATACCCTGGGGAGCATCCTACGCAAAACAGTTTCTGGCATGGCCTTCGAGAGAGTGAGTGGGTGTTAGGGCAGTGCATGAAGCAGACTGGTTGATCTTCCTGCTGTATCTGTATATGACCAGGCAATTACAGCTGCAATATTCTTGTGACTTGGAATCTTCCAAAATAATTGGAGCGTGTAAATTACAAAACCTGAGGTCAAAAAGTTCTGCATCAGTGGGAAGGCTTGAGCATTCTGAGATAAGCTTTTTATACTTTCTAGATTTTTTTTTTTTAACTAGTTTCACTGTAGAGGTGCAGGAAGTATAGAGCTAGTACAACTTCACAGAAATGCAACTGATCAACTGCTAAATGAAGAAAATAATGAGAGACGCAAATAGCGATTTGGCATTTGTGAAGCACAAATGTTACGCTACTGTGTGCATAGATTCCAAAAGAAATGGATTACACCTTTTGGAAAATCACAGAATGGTAGGGATTGGAAGGGACCTCTGTGGGTCATCTAGTCCAACGCCCCTGCTGAAGCAGGGTCACCTACAGCAGGCTGCACAGGACCTTGTCCAGGCGGGTCTTGAATATCTCCAGAGAAGGAGACTCCACAACCTCCCTGGGCAGCCTGTTCCAGTGCTCCGTCACCCTCAGAGGGAAGAAGTTCTTCCTCATGTTCAGACGGAACTTCCTGTGCTTCAGTTTGTGCCCATTGCCCCATGTCCTGTCACTGGGCACCACTGAAAACAGCTTGGCCCCATCCTCCTGACACCCACCCTTCAGATATTTGTAAGTATATATTAGGTCCCCTCGCAGCCTTCTCTTCTTCAGGCTGAACAAGCCCAGCTCCCTCAGCCTCTCCTCGTAGGAGAGATGTTCCA